ATTCCCTACACAAAAGTACTGAGCCATTTATCGCTAGAAATCACTAGTATGGAAGATATTTTAATTACAATATTCTAGGGGGTGCTATTAAAAGACGCCATTACCAGAGAATCTTAAAATTCGAATATCTTCTAAACCAGCGATATTTCTCCGTAAATGATACACTACTTTTATACTCAGAATGGCCAATTGCATCTATTGACTCTATAAAAAATTCAGGAAACATTGTTTATCATCCGCGAAGTTATTCGAGTTTCCTTTAAGTTGTACGATTTTGGGGGACATTTTCACTTTGGTTTATTTTTTAATACGTAAATCGGTACAGTTTGATATTCCCTACACAAAAGTACTGAGCCATTTATCGCTAGAAATCACTAGTTTGGAAGATATTTTAATTACAATATTCTAGGGGGTGCTATTAAAAGACGCCATTACCAGAGAATCTTAAAATTCAAATATCTTCTAAACCAGCGATATTTCTCCGTAAATGGTACACTACTTTTATACTCAGAATGGCCAATTGCATCTATTGACTCTATAAAAAATTCAGGAAACATTGTTTATCATCCGCGAAGTTATTCGAGTTTCCTTTAAGTTGTACGATTTTGGGGGACATTTTCACTTTGGTTTATTTTTTAATACGTAAATCGGTACAGTTTGATATTCCCTACACAAAAGTACTGAGCCATTTATCGCTAGAAATCACTAGTATGGAAGATATTTTAATTACAATATTCTAGGGGGTGCTATTAAAAGACGCCATTACCAGAGAATCTTAAAATTCGAATATCTTCTAAACCAGCGATATTTCTCCGTAAATGGTACACTACTTTTATACTCAGAATGGCCAATTGCATCTATTGACTCTATAAAAAATTCAGGAAACATTGTTTATCATCCGCGAAGTTATTCGAGTTTCCTTTAAGTTGTACGATTTTGGGGGACATTTTCACTTTGGTTTATTTTTTAATACGTAAATCGGTACAGTTTGATATTCCCTACACAAAAGTACTGAGCCATTTATCGCTAGAAATCACTAGTTTGGAAGATATTTTAATTACAATATTCTAGGGGGTGCTATTAAAAGACGCCATTACCAGAGAATCTTAAAATTCAAATATCTTCTAAACCAGCGATATTTCTCCGTAAATGGTACACTACTTTTATACTCAGAATGGCCAATTGCATCTATTGACTCTATAAAAAATTCAGGAAACATTGTTTATCATCCGCGAAGTTATTCGAGTTTCCTTTAAGTTGTACGATTTTGGGGGACATTTTCACTTTGGTTTATTTTTTAATACGTAAATCGGTACAGTTTGATATTCCCTACACAAAAGTACTGAGCCATTTATCGCTAGAAATCACTAGTATGGAAGATATTTTAATTACAATATTCTAGGGGGTGCTATTAAAAGACGCCATTACCAGAGAATCTTAAAATTCAAATATCTTCTAAACCAGCGATATTTCTCCGTAAATGGTACACTACTTTTATACTCAGAATGGCCAATTGCATCTATTGACTCTATAAAAAATTCAGGAAACATTGTTTATCATCCGCGAAGTTATTCGAGTTTCCTTTAAGTTGTACGATTTTGGGGGACATTTTCACTTTGGTTTATTTTTTAATACGTAAATCGGTACAGTTTGATATTCCCTACACAAAAGTACTGAGCCATTTATCGCTAGAAATCACTAGTTTGGAAGATATTTTAATTACAATATTCTAGGGGGTGCTATTAAAAGACGCCATTACCAGAGAATCTTAAAATTCAAATATCTTCTAAACCAGCGATATTTCTCCGTAAATGGTACACTACTTTTATACTCAGAATGGCCAATTGCATCCATTGACTCCATAAAAAATACATAATTAGAAATTAAAATTCATGAAACATTGTTTATCATTTTCGAAGACATTAGAGTGGAAATTTGGAGTTTCTTTCAACGCAGACTTTACCAACCCAATCGTAGTTAAATGTCCAGAGTATTTGGTAAACTCTGAAGGATTTCGGGCCCCCGACAAAAAATATCGATTTGAGCGAGGAAGCATCGTTCGGCTTTGGTTTCACCTCGATTAGATTTCGCGGGTAAAAGTTCGCGAGGCTGTTTCGAACAATAGCAGCCGGAACGGAAAGCGTAATTGGAAAACGCGGCAGGATGCACTCTCCGACATTCCGGAATTACGTAGCGCGCCATCAAGCTTATGCATCGAGCACGCCGCTCGTCGTTATCTCGTGCACTCGACCCCCGGGGCCACGCTCATCCAGACGATTCTATGCAAATGATGAAGCGAGCACGCGCCGTGGAAAACCCCGTCGCGAATTCGTAAACAGCCGGCCAGCATCGCCAGGGGGTCGTAACAACCCCCGGAAACTTCGGTTGATGCACACGTTGCGTACAAATTTTTGCCACTCAAGATCGTCCATTCTCATCCACTCTCGTCTGTCACCCCCCTTTCCCCCTGTTTTTAACACGGAAAAATTTCGTTTTATCAAACGGGGTGCAAAGGTAAAGAAAAAAATAACGAAATTATTCACAGTTCAATTAGGAATGTAAAATAAAATTGTTAAGAAAAGTGTTAAATAAATTGTCCTTTCTCGAAGTAAAATTAATTGGAACTGTGAATGTTGTCTCGTTTAAAGATCACATTTGATCATTTCTGCAACTGTGAATGAGAGGTGTTCGAGAGTGGTGGATTACTAAGAATTTTAACTCGTGTGATTGGGCGCTGGTGATCGCCGGCTACCAAAATGGCGTAGGTCGAATGGAATCGTTTCATTGCTCGCTCATTGTTTCCGGCGCTCTCGGAGACCGATTCATCTGCATCTAAACGAACAAAAGGGGGTCCAGCCTTGATGCATTCGAGCAAAGAGATACGGTGATCCGTGAGCAAAGCTGTTGCTCGACTATCCGGAAACGACCTGAAAAGTAGGGAAGCTCTCTCTCTGGTCGTCGTGGGCGGGCCACCACGTTTCATGCATAGCGGATGAGACCCGGGTCTCTCTCTTCCTCGTCGTTTGTTCCACGGTGACGCAACATTACGAGTGGGTTCGATCGTTGTATCCGCGATCGAGCGTTAGGACGCAAATAACGCGATCTCGTGACACCGCCCCTGTTGACACTGGTTACTTCCAAGCGTAATACACACGCTTAACGCGTTTAATTTCATTAACACCGTCACTGGGCAATCATAGAATACCACAAGGGGTGTCGAGGCACCTTCCGTGCTGGCTCTTGGACGATTAGGTACTGGCTTTTGATTAGAAAAGGAACGTTTCGTCGCTGGTGCGTATTTATAGCACGGCGAAGTCTAGAATAGTGTTCGGATTCAAGGTTTATTAACGAGGAAGTATTACAAGGGGGCCTCTCGCGAGGGGACATTTTGTTTTCAATGCACCGGTGATTAAATCTGGCAAGATGGGATCGTGAGTCGCGAGAATCGTCGAGATTTCCTTTGTTGGTACGTGGAAGGAACTTGTTGTAGGTCGAAACCTTGGATCGTTCACGTGGATGTTAAATGGATCAAGGTCAGGGGTGACTTTTTATCGGTGATGACCAGGAATTTTGAATGCAAAGGATCTCCATGGTCGATTTTCAAGTTTCCTTTCTCCGTCCTATGGGAAATAATTCACAGACATAAATAAAACTGGGTATTGCTCCCTAAAGGGAACGTTGGAAAAGTAAATAAACATTGTCTTGTATCTCATACCATTTGTTCCGATGATCTAAAGAAAGTTACAATATTGAATTATTTATTTGTCAACGAAGAATCGCCTCCTTTTCAGGTGCACACAGTAGACAAATAGCAGTTTCCAGTTTCAAACAAGTAGCTAGCGCGAAGTCCATTTAAATAGCGTAAAAATATTTTTTAATATTGTATGTAAAGTGAATTTTTTTATTAAAAATTGAATAAGCGATAGAGGAAGCCTGGGACCACCTTTGTACACGAAATTTAGTATTGTAAAAATAATGCCCAATCGAATTCGATCGTATGCCCGACCAAAATCGTGTTTGCACTACTTGAGAATTATATTCTGACCCCATATCGAAGTATCAGTCGTATTTTTATTGTATCTGCACTTATTCTCTGCCTTTTTATAGTATCTTTACATAGCAGAATTAACGTAGCGTCGAATTTAATTTGATTTTCAAGGATAGTAGTGATATGTCCGACCAAAATCGTTGTTGCACTACTCGATGAACGAATTCTGATGAATTATTTGTATTCTACCACCGTAAACCAAGTGTAAAAGGATAGAGAATAAGCACAGATGTAACAAAAACATGATCGATGCTTCGATGGATCCTATTTCGAAGCGATACTCATCGGAATTCATTTTTCAAGTAGTGCGGAACGATTTTGCTCGGACATGTTACGAATATCGCCGATAATCGACTTAAATTCGATGTTATCTTAATCCATCGCGTAAAAATAGCGTAAATAAGCGTAGATTTAATAAAAATATAACGAACACGTGCATCAAATGAATCGAAATTGGTTCTCCAAGTAGTACAAGACGATTTTGCTCGGACATGTTACGAATATCGTCGATAATCGACTTAAATTCGATGTTATCTTAATCCATCGCGTAAAAATAGCGTAAATAAGCGTAGATTTAATAAAAATATAACGAACACGTGCATCAAATGAATCGAAATTGGTTCTCCAAGTAGTACAAGACGATTTTGCTCGGGCATGTTACGAGTATCGTCGACAGTCGAATTGAATCGACAATTATTTCAATTCCATCACATAAATAGGAGTTTTATAAGGGTCGTTTCAACCCCTAAATACAACAATCCAGTATTTTAAGTATTCCTCATATTTTTGCATATTGGATTGTTTCGAGACCTCGAATTTCTGATAAATGTATTAAGAAATGGTGGTCCCAGACTTGCTGGGGGTTTTTTTGGGGGGCCCCCCCCAAGCCCGTGTAAAGGGGCGGAACGTGATGATCGATGTATTGAGAGACGAAATGACGTGTGTGTTCCAGCAGCATCCGAACGCGACGAACAGTAGCGAGACGAGCGTGGGTGGCGTGTCGGGTGCATGCGGAAGCAGCGGGATACCGGCGGGCGGAGAGGCAGGGTGCAGCAGCAGGGGCGGAAGCAGCAGCGGCGGGGGCGGTGCAGCCGGACAGGGCTGCGAGCAGGGAGCCCACGGTGGCCCCCCGTCTCATTCCAGGGAGAGCCACGCCAAGTTCAGGCACGGACTGCTACAGCTTATGATGCACACGATCGATCCGCTCCACGACGGTCAGTCCCGCGCCGGTATACCAACTCCACACTCTATCACTCTCGCTTGCTGCTTTGCTTTAGCGCCGACAGCACGCTCTTAGTTCGTAGTCTTTATAGCAATGTAGCTCTATTTATTTTCTATTTTTTTTTTTTTAAACCAGTACGGTAACCCTTCGTGCAACGCGTCGACTGCCCTAATCTTTCAATCGTGTGAATCGAAGACCTCACAGGGTCACAGAGTCGCCATCATGGTTGTCAATGGTGCTCTTATTTGGATCACAAGCTTTTCATCGCTCGAGCAATATGTTTGTTTATTTAGGGGGTGACTTTCGAGACTATCCACCGTTTTTTCCCCCTCCAGTGTACAATTATTTAACCCCCCCCCCCCCAAGTGGGGCTCCCAATCTCAATTATTTCACTAAATTTTTACCAATTGGAAATCAATTTTCTTTGAAAATATTTAACAAAAATAGTGAATTAAATTCTCGAATAATTGCATTGATAAATATTAAGTAAATGTTAGTTCAAACTTGCTGATCCAAGGCTTAAAATCGTAGGAGTGAACGATGAATCCGGTAAAGATAAATCGTTGGAATAATATTGCATTTCTATTAATTAACGAAAGAGACATAGAACTAGAGTATAGCCATCGTCTATATACGGCCCTGGGCGGATTCACGATGAACGTGAGCTTAGGTCATCGATGATCGTCATGGCAGTCGACACGTTATAGATAGCATCGTAGCACGGAATTGAAAAAAAATCGAATCATCTCCACCGGGTGTTTATATTTCTTCGACCAGAACGAATGGCCGCCGGCTGTCGGGTAAAAACAGCCCCCGAAACGCCGTGTCGCTGTGACAGCCGCAACACACAGAAGCTAAAAAGATTTATTAGCGGCCGAAAATACGGGCAAACATTTCCTTTGCGTCCATTTCGACCACTTAATTTCACAGCCTCTCTGTTCCGGCAGGAAATTATTTCGAAATAATAACGTTCGTGATCGTAAAAAAAGGAAATATTCGAAGCACTTTTAATGAAAATAGAGGTCTCGTTTTCTGAGGATCGAAAAATTTGGTTGGTCGAAATAAACGCGAAACAATGTTTTTATACGAGTTTTGCAATCTCTAAACCGGTGGAGCTGATTTTCGATTTTACAACGAAGGATCACCGTACTAATTGCACGGGCCATGGTCTCGCGTTCGCTTCCGGGGGAAATTTAACCATCGAAGCTCCGAAAGAATCCTTGAAAACAACCACTGGTTTATTACACCAGAGACTTGGGTGTACACGAAGCTCGTAGACAGTCAGAAGTCGAGGATCGTCTTTAAGAAAGTCGCGAGAACCGCGGAGGATCCGATGCTCCCAAACGATTTTGGCTCGATCGCGTGCAACTTTCTTGGCACGACCGATATTTCCCCCCGCTTCCGGTCGGTCCCGTGTCCGCGTGGAACCGCAAAACTTCCGAAAGCTCCGTCGGTTAAAGTGCTTTTAAATGTAGAGACGCGACAGGGGGGACGCTTATCAAGGCCTCCCTGGGATCTCGAGCCATTTCTCTCTTCATCGACGGCGAACGTTTCTGCACGGCCGCGAAACCTTGGATCCGTGGCTCGGGGAACCTCTGTACGGGCGGATTTTGAAAAACCGCGACACGGGGCAGAAGAAACCCCTTGCTCTCGTCTACATTCTGTACAAACATGGTCCTTTAAGCTTATCAGATTCAATTCGCAAACGTAATGGTAAAGTACACTTCGATATCAATGTTAGAAACTACATTTTTCTGTCTTGTTTGGTCACTTCTGCCTTCGTTCTCACAACGTGGATTTTCAACATCCCCCCTGTATAGGAATATTCGAGACAATGATAACGCTAAATTTACGGACACAAACCCGCCATTTTGAAGACTACATAAAAATTGTACTCGAAAGGTATTCAAAACGAAATTCAAGTAAAAAATGTTGGATTGTCAAGTTCCCCGTAAATCTAGCGTGGAGTAGAGAAGATAGATTCGTTGAGGAGCAGTTTCCCCCAAACCAGAGCCCCCGCCAATAGTCCAAGTTAAAATTCCGATCGAGATTGGCGTGCATTCGAAGGGCCTTGGATCATAACCCAATTAACGTCGCGTATGGATTCCCCGGTGTCGGCCTCGGACGAACAGTCCGATGTGTTCCGTATTTTCGGAGAATCTCTGCGCCGCGTGGGTTGCACGGTTTTATTTGGGGGAAACGTGCCCGGAGATTGGCGTTGTTGCTCGTCTAGCCTGCGTTGGGTTTTCTTGCATGACCGATCGCTGCGCGTGTGCTCGTTGCGTCCGACGAAGTAATTAAACGTTGCGAGGCACTCGACGATAACGAGCCAGAAGTTCAATGTCGTGCAATGTTGTGCCTGGCTGCCTGCGTACAACGCTGCCACCCGGTTTCTCTCGCTCGACCTGCGTAGAACGTAGAAACTCCAGTAGAACGCGTCAGGATGTAGTCAGACGCGTGCCATAGAGGCGTCAAAATTGATTGAAAATACTCTTAGAGCCTCGAAGTAACCTTTATGAGTTCTTTTAGGGGGGGATGAACGAAGAGTTACAGTAATTTTGTATGTGAAAACGTGAAAGTCACTTGACTCAGTAGAACATGTCAAGATGTAGTCAGACGCGTGGCATAAAGGCGTCAAAATTAATTGGAAATACTATTGGAGCCTCAAAATAATCTTTATGAGTCCTTTTAAGGGGAGATGAACGAAGAGAATTTTGTAATATTTAATTTAACAGCAATTTTCTATGTGAAAGTCACTTGGCACAGTAGAAAGGGTCAAGATGTAGTCAGACACGTGGCATAAAGGTATCAAAATTAATTAAAAATACTGTTGGAGCCTCAAAGTAACCTTTATAAGTTCCTTTAGGGGGAGATGAACGATGAGAATTTTGTATTATTTAATTTAACAGCAATTTTCTATGTGAGTCATTTGGTTCAGTAGAACGGGTCAGGATGTAGTCATACGCGTGCCATAGAGGCGTCAAAATTGATTGAAAATACTCTTAGAGCCTCGATGATACCTTTATGAGTTCTTTTAGGGGGAGATGAACGAAGAGTTACAGTAATTTTGTATAGAAAACGTGAAAGTCACTTGACTCAGTAGAACATGTCAAGATGTAGTCAGACGCGTGGCATAAAGGCGTCAAAATTAATTGGAAATACTATTGGAGCCTCAAAATAATCTTTATGAGTCCTTTTAAGGGGAGATGAACGAAGAGAATTTTGTAATATTTAATTTAACAGCAATTTTCTATGTGAAAGTCACTTGGCACAGTAGAAAGGGTCAAGATGTAGTCAGACACGTGGCATAAAGGTATCAAAATTAATTAAAAATACTGTTGGAGCCTCAAAGTAACCTTTATAAGTTCCTTTAGGGGGAGATGAACGATGAGAATTTTGTATTATTTAATTTAACAGCAATTTTCTATGTGAGTCATTTGGTTCAGTAGAACGGGTCAGGATGTAGTCATACGCGTGCCATAGAGGCGTCAAAATTGATTGAAAATACTCCTAGAGCCTCGAAGTAACCTTTATGAGTTCTTTTAGGGGGAGATGAACGAAGAGTTACAGTAATTTTCCATGTGAAAACGTGAAAGTCACTTGACTCGGTAGAACATGTCAAGATGTAGTCAGACGCGTGGCATAAAGGCGTCAAAATTAATTGGAAATACTATTGAAGCCTCAAAATAATCTTTATGAGTCCTTTTAAGGGGAGATGAACGAAGAGAATTTTGTAATATTTAATTTAACAGCAATTTTCTATGTGAAAGTCACCTGGCACAGTAGAAAGGGTCAAGATGTAGTCAGACACGTGGCATAAAGGCGTAAAAATTAATTGAGAATACCGTCAGAGCCTCAAAATAATCTTTATTAACTGTTTGAAGGGATGAATAAAGAAAGAGAATTGTTTTATTATTTAAATAATAATTTTTTTAGGTTTAATGGAAAGTGTTGGAATGGGATGTGAAAAGGATCAGATTTCCCAGCTGTTCCACTTTCCCCGTATTGCTAATCCTGTGAACAATCTTATCAGGAGGCAATCTTATCACATAGCCTGAGTAGACCATAAAAACTCGGTAGAACGAGTCGAGCTGTAATCAGACGTGTGGAACGTGTGGCGTAGATGCATCTCGAAGTTAATTGAAAATACTATGGTAGCCTCAATGTAATCTGTATTAATTTCTTTGAGGTGTGATAGGGGATGAGGATTGTTTTATTATGTAAATTGTTAATAATTTTCTAGGTTACGTGAAATGTGTAGGAATAGGATGTGGAAAGGAGTCGATTCTCCAGCTGCTCCACTTTTCCTGCATTGCTAATCCTGTCGACCTTACCTGGAACCAATCTCACCGCATGGCCCCTCCATTTTCTGTAATTTTCTCCCGAAATTCTACCACCCGATTCCCCAAAGTGGGAAATTCACAAAGATAAGTATGCACTGGGTCTGATTAATATTAATATATTCTACTTAAAGACCCACGAAAGCTATTCTGCTTCTAAATAATTAAACTATTATACTTCGAATTATTTCCCAAAATGCCAGCACTGAATTTTTACAAAGCGGAGCATTCCCAAAGAAAAGGAACTGTCATGTTTGACTAATATTAGTATAATCTACTTAGAGATCCACAAAAGTGGTTCTATTCCTAAATGATCAGACTAACCAACTTCCAATTTGTTCCCAAAGTTCTACCACCCAATTCTTCGAAGTGGAAAATTCCCAAATAAAAGTACACACTGTCATGTCCGACTAATAACAGTATACTCTACTTGGAGATCCACAAAAGTGATTCTATTCCCAAAAAATCGAACTACCCAACTTCCAATTTGTTCCTAAACATTCTACTGCTCAATTCAAAGTGGAAGATTCCCAAATAAATGTACACACTGCCGCGTCTGATTAATAACAGTACATACTACTTGTAGACCCACAAAAGTGGTTATTCCTCGTGAATAATCAAACTGTCCAATGAACAATGCGTTCCAAAATACAAATTCCTCGTCCAT